AGGGAGAGCGACGGGCAGCTGAGCATCGGGGAGAGGATCGACAGGGAGCGCATCTGCAAACACGCCCTGCAGTGCCTCATCTCTTTCGACGTGGTAAGTTTCTCCAAGGAGCAGTTCAAGCTCATTCACGTCGAGCTGGAGGTCAAGGACATCAACGACAACTCCCCGGCGTTCCCTCGCAAGGAGTCCACCACGGACATCTCGGAAAACACCGCCGTGGGGACGCGCATCCCGCTGGACTTTGCCGTGGACGAGGACGTCGGGGCCAACTACATTCAAAGCTACCAGATCTCGGTGAACAGCCACTTTTCCATCGACGTGCTGAGCAGGGCCGATGGGGTTAAATATGCAGAGCTGGTGCTCATGAAAGAGTTGGACCGGGAGACTCAGGCGTCTTACGCGCTCGAATTGGTCGCGATGGACGGCGGCAACCCGTCCCGCTCGGGAACCACGCGCGTCAACATCAAGGTGAAAGACTATAACGACAATAGCCCCGTTTTTGACCGCAACAGTTTCTCCGTGGACTTGCCGGAAGATTCCCCGGTGGGCACCCTGCTGCTGGACCTGAATGCGGAGGACCCGGACGAAGGGCTGAACGGCGAGGTGGTGTACGGCTTCGGGAACCAGGTGCCCTTCGAGATCCGCCAGCTCTTCAAAGTGGACAGAAAAAGCGGCAGGCTCACCCTGGAAAGCCCCATCGACTTTGAGAGCAAGAACACGTACGAGTTTGACGTCCAGGCCACCGACTTGGGTCCGAACCCCAGCCCGGCCATATGCAAAATTGTCGTCCAGGTGCAAGACGTGAACGACAATGCGCCAGAGATCTCCATCACGCCCATGACGTCCATCACCGCGGGCATCGCTTACATCACCGAGGCGGCGGCCAAGGAGAGTTTTGTGGCTCTGGTCAGTACCTCGGACAGAGATTCCGGAGCCAACGGCCAAGTGCACTGCACCCTCTACGGACACGATCACTTCAGACTGCAGCAGGCGTATGAAGACAGCTTCATGATCGTCAGCACCAGTCCGTTGGACCGGGAGAAAATCCCCGAGTATAACCTGACGGTGGTGGCCGAGGATTTGGGCTCTCCTCCCTTCAGGACCATCACTCAATACACCATCCGGCTGACGGACGAGAACGACAACGCGCCGGTGTTCAGCAAGCCCGTGTACGAGGTGGCGGTGGTGGAGAACAATGCGCCCGGTGCGTACGTCACCACGGTGGTGGCGCGGGACCTGGACTTGGGGCCGAACGGGAAGGTCACCTACAAACTGGCGGACACTTACTTCATGGGCTCCCCCATTTCCACATTCGTGTCGCTGGACCCCGCCAGCGGCTCTCTTTACGCGCTGCGGAGCTTCAACTATGAGGTGATGAAGCAACTGGAGCTCCGAATCACAGCCAGCGACGGCGCCTCCCCGCCCCTCTCCGGAAGCGCCAACGTTTTCCTGCGGGTCGTGGACCAGAATGACAACGCGCCGGCCATCACCCACCCGGCGCTCCACAACGGCTCGGCCGAGGTCCTCCTGCCCCGGGACGCGCCGAGCGGCTACGTCGTCACGCGGGTGGAGGCGCGGGATGCGGACGAGGGCGTCAACTCCGAGCTTTCCTTCCGGCTTGCCGCCAGTGAAGCCTCCGTTTTTTCCGTCAACAAAGTCACGGGGGACGTCTACCTGAACCGGGTGCTCAGCCACGACGTGGACGACACCTTGAGCGTGACGGTGACGGTGAGCGACAACGGCAGGCCGGCGCTCACCTCCACCGCCACGCTGCACTTCCTCATCATCGCCGGCTCCCCGCCGAGCGACCGCACCGTGTACCAGGCGGGCGGCGGGGGCGTCGTGTCCGCGCAGTGGGACCTGTCGGTGGTCATCATCGTCGTCTTGGCGGGGAGCTGCACCCTCCTGCTGCTGGCCATCATCCTCATCGCCACCACCTGCAACCGCCACCGAGGGGACAAGAGCGGAGAGGACAGCGACGACTCTTACGGGGAGAAAGGCACGCCGGAGCGGGGCAGGAACCACGTGGCCGCAAACCCGCTTCTGCCCGTGCCTCATCCCCACGCGGCGGCGGGGGCGGTGGGCTTTGAGGGACACTCGTACAGCAGCCAGGCGCACGCCGGGGGCGGCGACATGTGCTCGGCCTCGGAGGACGGCAGCGAGGTCCCCTGCGTTTACGACTCGGAGACAAACGGCAAACCGAGGGGGAATAAACATGAGGTGAGTGCGCCTTTTGTGACTCGGGTGTCGGTCGATCACGATTGGCCAAACTGAACTTTCCTTTCGATTTCTTTTGCAGGGATATTCAACACTGCCCGGCTACGGGAACGGAAAGGAGGCCGTGAGGCCGATCACCATCTGGAAGGGCAACTCTTACACCACCATCTCCGCCAGGGATCCCGCCTTCAGCGGCAAAGACAGCGGCAAGGGGGACAGCGACTTCAATGACAGCGACAGCGATGTGAGCGGAGACACCGGCTTGAAGAAAGATAGCGCATCTGTCCCCCCGATGGGTGGCCCAAATGGTAAGAAACAGAGGGAGAAGGTTCAAGGTCCCCTTTCGTCGTCCCCCCTCGGAATCTGTCTCAGCTGCATAACATGAACGCAAACACACGAACGTCAGCATCGCATCGAAACACGGCAAACACGCGACATTCGCTCGACGCGGCTCATCAACCCCGATGGCCGTTCGCGTTCATGAGCATAATTAAGCAAAGAATGAATTCTCCACAATTAATTTTCACGGCTCACCCCCCGAGGGGGGGGGCCTGATGAAAACATTTTGTGCTTCATTCACTTTTGTCTGACTTCATCATCACAATTTGCGTTCGAATCTAACTCCCCTCCTCTTTTTTTTTTTTTCCTGAAGCATTGTGGGCTTGCACCAGCGAGTGTAAGGTTCTGGGTCATTCGGATCGCTGTTGGAGCCCCTCAGCGGCGAGAGCCAATGCGGCCCCCTCCCCGGCCCCGACCGTCTCCTCCTTCGGCAGCCACTCCAAAACGGCCTCTTTGCCTCGGGACCCCCACCGCAGGGACAACTACTACCAAGCGCACATCCCCAAAACTGTGGGCCTCCAGAGCGTGTATGAGAAGGTGCTGGACAGGGAGTACGACTATGTCATGATCACGCCCACGAGGCCCGTGAGGGTCCAGGAGGTCTGCAGTGACGTCACTATCCCCGTGTACACGCCCAGTCCGACGCACTGTAACAACAACGATGCCTGAAAAGACTGAGCTGCACACGCGTCGCTCTCACAGAAATATATTTGATCCCAAAATACTTAATTTATGTTTCCCTGACAATGAGAGGTGTAAAAAGATAGTTTTTGGACTTCTATCCTAATGTTTGTGCAGCTTTGCTTCATGTGGAAAAAAAAAAAAAAAAAGAATCCAATTCAATCACTTTCAGATTTACTTCTTTGATTGACATGAATTGTATGATATGCAAGTTTCGTACAGACAGAGATTTTATTTTTGATATAAGCCATACTTAAGTGGACCCGTGTAAATACTGATCTTGAAGCATGCTTCTATTTAAACTCTGCGGCTACTGTTTGGCTGGAGGGCTCCAACATAGGAATCAAATGAACAATGATGTATGAAATGGTCTGAATGTAACATGACGTATTTGTACAGATTTTGCATTACCACAACGTTGTGACAGAAAATAAACTTTGAAATGCTGCACTGAAAAAAAAAAAGTCTTTCACGACAAGATTTTTTTTTTCAGGAACACTGTGAGGAGTTACACACCAAGGCCGATAGATGTCGCCATTATTGCCATACGAGACCTTGCACCACACTGAAGGTCATTTCAATCATTTAAAACATCTAAAAGTACGTTGGCTCGAAGAAATCAATGTCACGTCAATAACGACCAAAACACGTGACTGATTTGCCATTTTCAAAAAGTTGAAAGTTGGCTTCTGCCTCAACAATTTGTCATCATTAAGTGCAAGTCTACTGCAAGTCTCAGGTCGCAACCTTCCGGTTTTGAGCAAGCTAATGCAGAAAAAAAAAGCCAACTCGCTACATTTCAGGCAATTAGTCAAGTTCGAACTTGGGTAAAACATGAATCAAGTCATCCACTCTTGTTCTCTCTGTCCCTCTTTCTCTGGTTTT